CAATCCACCCAGGTATAAAAATATATTTAAATCTAGTAAAAATGTAAACAGCAATAACAATTCAGTACTGGATTTCAATACCAACTCTTACCGTAATTTCACCAACGTTTTTTACTTTTATTATTTCGGTACAACTTTCAGGCGAGTCGAGGCAAGAGGCGCTATGTGCAGATTTATGCTAGAAAACCGTAATTTCGCTTAGTGGTAGGCAATTCTCATAACATCAAGTATTTACACCTAAAATATTCGACTCTATTGTAACTGATCTAGATTTTCAATTATATATATATATATATATATATATATATATATATATATATATATATATATGACGACTCCGTGGCGCAGTGGCTTAGCAATGAGTGGCTGCGCTGGGGGTCGCGGGTTCGAATCTCGCATGGAACAATTATTTGTATGGCCTACAAATAGTTATTCCGGGTCTGGATGTTTGTCCTTGTGCAATTTATGTTTGTAAATTGCCCCTATGATACAAGAGAAAATCTTAGTGTAGGCATAACGTTTTTTAAAAAAAATAGAAATATATATATATCCCTTGTCCTAGATTGCACGTTGTTTAGGACACCAGCTTCTTGCTTCATATAAAATATAATCATAATGAAAACTTAGTAGAAACTAAAATTACGATTTCGTCAAGATGGAGAATCTTTTAAGTTCTTAAATAGATTGGGCTTGAAATTCATGCACGAAAGAAAATAGAATCATCATTATAAATCTTGAGTTTATCAATACTATCCAACACGTAGCGCCAGAGTATGGGCGGCTGTTCAACAATTTCCCACGAATTGGCAACCACAGTTTTAAGTTGTTATAAGTAAGGCGCTGCTACCTCGTTGTTTGTTGCTCTCTATCACCTCTTAAGACGCCCACGGGATGATATGGGCTAGGGGATATTCTTACAACGCCACTACACGGTAAAGTAATGACTTACAATATTATGTACGTCTAATTGGCTAGCTATGCAGTAATTAATCCACCATGCTGGTACATTACATTTTAACAGACTTTACAAGTTTTCTAAAATATTTTTAACTAACAGATATGCAGGTTTCCTTATGACGTATTCTTTCAGCGACGGGCATCTAGTAAATCAGTACTTAAAACGGCAATTAGTACATGTAGTTTCATTGGTGTGGTGGGAATCAAACACGTTTTGTTCGCGTAAAATGACATTTACAGCGAGCACTTAACCCCGGAACTACCACCCTTCTAACTAAGGTTTTTTGTTTATAAACAAAAACTTTAATTAAAATGACCGGTGAATCTATTCTAAAGCACGCAAAACTAAATTGTATTTGTTACATTTGTTCAAAAACCCAAATGTATTTTTCTACTCGATATATTTTGTTAAGTCTGGAGCTTCGAAATGACTGACGACAAATTGGTTGTTTTTGTGTTATTTGTGCAAACTTGGAAATAACTTTGGTGTTTGATGTTCGTAAATCGTCTAACAATAGCCATCTCCATACTTCTTCCGATGTTAGTGTTAGTGTAATAACTTTTTTATTTCTGTGGGAATATAATATTACGGGAATATAATATATAATAATATTCAAGTTTTGTTAATAAAAATATCAGGTAATTATTAAGACAGAAATCTTCGATTTCGGGTTAACTCTGACATCGGGACGTCAATCACCTCAGTCCCCCGTGGCCATGAGTGATGGAATGCGCCCGAAAAATCGGGAATTAAAATTAAGTAAGTTAAAAGCGATAAAATTCATAAAAGTAGTTTTATACAATACTGTTTTTTTGTCTTAAAAAATTACCCCTACACTAAGTTTTTTTCTGTATCATGTAACAATTACTTGTTGGGTACAAATACTTGCTACGTGCTGGATGTGAGTAAATAAAGGTGAACTCACTTTGCTGGCCCGTGGTATAGGACCGGCCCGAAGTACTTGGCGAGCCCACTTCGGATGTGTATTGGTGGGCTGCGGCGGGGGGGGGGGTGTTCTCCTGAACCCCTACCGCTGCAGCCGAGGTGGAGTCGCGGGAGAAGAGGAGTATTAATACGGTGATGCGCCACTCGCCTTATCCTCCGCGACTCTGACGGCGCCACACCGTAGATGCTGTGTCGGCTGCGCCGCGGGGGGAGAGGAGTGACGATATTTCAAGGCACCTTTCTCCTCACCCTCCATGGAAAAATTTGATTGGCGGCAGAGCCAGTAACCAGATCCGCCGTGGAGATCGTGAAAGCGGGTGTTCCCGTGCGCTCGTTTTTCCTGGCCCCATAGTCTCCACGTATCGGACTCGGGGGGTCCGTTACGCAGTTGGAGTTGGTGGCCGTGAAGGAACTCGCACCTTTATTTCCTGGTGCACCTTGCCTGAGAAAGAGAGTGGGGAGGAATAGTTCTCCCCCGAGGAGGGCTTGTAGTATAGTAAAGCCCCATGACTATAAATATTAGCATAAAGTGTAGAATAAGGGTAAGTACAGTTAAAACTTTAGTACCGATACCATCCACACCATCTGGATGCTTGGCGGTCCACCACAGTACGTTTCAAAAGGAGTTTTCTTCCGCATACAACCTCTCTGTGGAATAGTTTACCACCGGCGATTTTTCCGGACCGATACGACCTGGGGACCTTCAAGAAAAGAGCTTACTCCTTTCTAAAGGGCCGGCAACGCACCTGTAATTCCCCTGGTATTGCGGTTGATCATGGGCGGCGGTAGTCACTTAACATCACGTGGGCCGCATGCTCGTTTGCTCCCTCTTCTATAATAATAAAACAACATTAAGTCTCCTTCATTGACACCTCTCCTACATTCAGACAGTCAATACTAATGACCTTGGTTATGTTATTGAGTCATTAATTCATAGATATTTTATTGTATTGTTTTACACACTACAACTTTTATATAAATAAAAGTTGTAGTGTGTAAAACAATACAATTATATAGTATGCGGCAAGAGCTATATTTTCGGACTACTTCCAGATTTTTACTGCCGCATTTAAAAAATAAAGTGGGGTGAGAACTTATTACAGTCTACTGAAACTTTACATTTCAAAAAATAAGCTTAATTAACGAGTGTAATATTAAAACTCATTGCGCAAAAATATTTATAATATATGGAACAACACTAAATAACAAAATACATAGAATATATTATAGAATGAAGTTAAACCTCTTTAGGTGTGACATGAGTGTAGCTCAGATCTTTTTCGGACGGAAGTGACGTTTTACTATAGTGAACGAGAGTACGGAAGTGACGGAAGTTACAAACAAGCATCTAGCAACGCACGCACACAAGCGCGGAGTTCACCTACAGTAGCAGCATGAGAAAATAACGTGAGCCGTGTGATAGTGCGCGCTTGTGTGCGTGCGTTGTAAGACGCTTGAATGCATGAATGCTTGAATGCAGCTTCCGCACTCTCGTTTCCGCGGTTATTACAGTCCGCACTTATAAAGGCAGACTACAGTACTTCGTGTGTATGTGTTACATAAACATAAACACAATTTTCAGACATAATACTTATCCTTATACTTAATACACCCGTAGTAGCGGTGTAATAATATCTACCGTGCCGTAAAAGGCGATGAAATGACTACACTCAGCAGTGGACTTTTACAGGCTGTAATGGATAATGGACGTAGTAAAGTTAGAATCTATATACGTCCCACTGCTGGGCACAGCCCCCCCCCCTCATTTCTGAGAGGGTTTTAGGGCAAGGAAGTGTCCGCCGCGCTGCCCCAATGCGTGTTGGCGAACTTCACATGTCTTCGAAATATTTTTTTTTCTTATTCCTCAGACATGCAGGTTTCCTCGCGATGTTTACCTTCACCGCTGAGCACGTGGTGAATCAGCACTTAAAATTGCAATTAACAATTTCATTGGTGCCTGTTAGATTTACAGCGAGCGTTAACCATCTGAGCTACCACGGCTCTTAACTTTGAATAATAAAAAATAATCTATAAGATGGAAAATATTACTTTGTTTGTTTTAGTTTGGAAAGTATTTTCAAAGCTTCCTCTCTCTATTAATTTATTTCATCATCCAACACATTAAATTTGAAGAATAAATGTAACCTTGGCAATCTTAAGTACCGTATATCAACGCTCGAATAGTTAATTATAAGACCTATCCAATTACTTCTATTCCTTTTGAGCATTCCGATGAGTCAGCCATTGACGTTCCAAATAAAAGTTTGTTCGATTCAGCAGCTAAGAATTTGCACAAAAATGTGTAACTTTGTAATTTATCTTAGTAATACGATTTAATATGTTCTCAGACATCGATTATTCCGGTCCTATAGCCGACAGCTATTTTGTTATGTGTCGGAATCTATGGGATGTGATCCTTCCAGAGCGCTAAAGGAGGTGTAATATATTATGATATTTTCATTTTCTCGATGCCGTATTTGCTCGATACCGTACGGTACCATAATTTAAAATAAGTTTGATTTTTATTTATCTGTTATTGAACTTAGTCAGTCTTAGCGGCTAGCTAGTAGACTCTGCGGTATATTTCACCTGGGGACTCCTCGTGAAGAGGCGAAAAACGAACTATCGACGGTGGTAGTCTTTCCTCGTCTTTTCTAGTGGTTTTGGAAGTAGTGTTGCTGGGATTAGTTGTAATGGCGGTAGTGCACGTTGAGGGAAGGCGGGAGGTGCACTTCAAACTAGGTAAGACACATAAATATATTTTATTAGGTGGATCTTAGCAAATTAATTTTATAGATCTTTAATAAAATGGATTTACGCAAAGTTAAGCTTCATTCTATTAATTATTTTATTTTATTGAATTACTTCTCATAACCCTTAACTGGTATACATGGGTCAAAACAGACCCGGACTAACATTTAAATCGATCATAAGTCCACATTAGTTCGATATTCACTCACACTGCGCCCTGTATTCCTCGTATCGCACAGAACACTACAACGCAAGTGCACGCGTATCTAGTTTCGGCGCAAATTTTCGGAACTACCGTACCGTATATCTTAAATGTAACTTTTTGTTTCGTAGGCGACGTTTGAAAATGGCGGAAAATGAAGAAGAACGAATACTGCGGTGGTTTAATGAGTGTGATAGTGACTCGGACTATGGCGACAACTGCTCCGAACATATTGATCACGACTCAGTATCTGAAATAAGTGATTTGGAGGATAACTCGGAGGAGTTATCACGTTTTAACACTGCGAAAAGTTTTGCTGAGATTGTTCCACAAAATGGCGAGCTCATTCATGGTGAACCACTACCATCATCACGATCACATGGTTCATCCAGAGGTTACTGGTACGGAAGTAATAAGTTTAAATGGTCGAAGACGCCTCTATATTCTTCGCGATACCGACGTAAAAACATTGTTACCCAATTACCTGGTTTGGCAAGGGAAGCACGTCGAACAGATATCTTCACGGCAAGCTGTTTACTGACGAACTAACTGGAAAGATTCTAGAATTTACCAACAAGAAAGTGACAGACCTGTCCTCAAACTACGGAGATACATTATACGTTGTCAGATTTGTTTGTCAAGGGGTGAGCGGCGGCAGTGCGCGTCCATATATGGGTCGACCATATTACCACCCACTCGGCAGGGCGCGTTTTCATTGGCCGAAAATCACGTCATATGCTAGACCAGGGGGGGACCTTTTCAGTGCGTGAGGAATGGAATGCGTAGTGGGACGGAAAGAGACACTGGCAGACAATAACCAACCAGCCAAAAATAAAAAAGTCCAATCCGGTGTGCATAAAAGGCTTTGCAGATTGTGTTAAGACCTAAGGTCCACCCCTTCCGGAAATGACGTCTTAGGACGTACTCGAAAGCTTTACATCTGTGCAGCCGATTGCGAATTAAATTACGTGCGGAAAGAGTCCAGTAATTCTGGCGCAAAATGGAAATCAACGATTCGGGGCGAGCGTGACAATTAAATGTATGGTGGTAATCAACCAATAAGTTCGTAATATGATCCTTACGCGGTAAATCTATAGGATGCCGTTGATCGAAACTCAAATTAAGTTAGACAAGCGCCCAACTACTCTAACAATTCCATCCTGCAAAAATGACTTGAGGCGTAGAAAAGCGCGACTGCAAGCTCTATTTAATTGTATTTTTTTAATTTCATCGGAAAAGTGCACACGTTGAAGTTCACGCAATATTAGCAACTATGCATAACTATAATCGGACGCAACGATATACGGACGTCATGATAGAAGCTTCGCAAATCGACAAACGTAAACTATGCTACGCAATATAAACTACATATAAACAATTGATACTACAAACACGAGCAAACACTACTTAATCACTTCTAGAACTACAAATGCTATATTTTCAATAATAATTTAAATATAACACAACGTCAGCGTACTGATGTGGCTTAGCTAAACTATATATTTTATATGAAACACTAACAAGCTAAAGATCTGATACGGCCGGAGTGATATTAGGCGTTGAACTAGCGTCTTTCTTGCTCTCTGAAGGGCGGGGGCAAAATCTCGAGTCTGTGCTGCTTGATTTGACTTGCTCGATTGAAAAACCCAGTCACTAATTTTGGCCAGACTTGTGAATTAAAACGAGGACCTCATTGTCATCAGTCGCGCTAACGACAACTAGTCCAACAAGGCAATCATCATCCTCTAATTATAGCTTACTAACCCCCACACAAGTCTAAAGAAGAAAAACACTTCGACTTAATCCAGACAAAAATCTCACCTGAAAACCTCGTATAGATTATATCCGATTTAAATTAACCCCTTCAATAGGAATTTTAAGATAAATAGCAAAATGTTTACCACAATCAATTAAAAAAACTAATATATAATTAACTTGTTAAGCCACGTTTAGAATATCTAATACAAGTATGGGGAAATGCAGCTAAATTAAACCTGGATGTATTGCATTGAATTCAAAATAAGGCTTCAAAATTACTTCTTAACACTAACCGATAAAATCTAAAAATTACCATATGTAGTACATTTATGTTTAGTATTATAGAGTATAATTAGTATGCACTAGTTAAAAAATACTATTGAAAACAACAAAGTCACTAATTACTATTTCTAAAGAAATTACCTATATTGTAATCGTAATAGACAGAGTCTAGCGTTGCCTACCTATAGAAATGACATAGGAAAGAAAATCTGTCTACGAACGAAAAACATTAAGTTTCAGGGAGTGCAACTCTACAAGCTGCCTAATGAGGTGAAAGAATGTAGCACCATTGCATTATTCAAAAGACGCCTGTTGAATTACCTACTTTTCGTTTGGATTTAATAATATATATTTTGTGTTTATTGTTTTAGATATTTATGTTCGTAAATAAGATAAAAATTTTCATATTGCGTTTTAATATAAAAGTATATAATCACACTCAAACTCGTTAAATCCTTAAGCCTTTGTATCGAATACTACTTTATGTTCCAATTTGTCACTCAGTTTTCACATATTATTATAAACTTAAATAAAATTATTGTTAGGATATATTTATTGTAACATAACCCCGAATTATTCATTTTCTATATCATGAAAGGAAATGAAATAACGGCGTTTAATTTACGCACCACCTGCGCGTAATACTCTCATTAGATTATAAATCACATTCATTTTCCAGGCGATGTCGTAAGAAACAGACTTCCAAACTGTCTGGTAGACATTAATATTAATGAAGCTACTCAGGATTATATTAATAGATTAATTATATGTGTAGTTATATTTTTTTTTTTAGATATTCCCCAATACGAGTATGGAAATTACTCTCTGGCGCGTCTCAAAGACATATATTTAAAAATTTTGAGAAATAGAAGTATATTATTATTATTATTATTATTTATTAGTTATCAATGCACACACATTTTTTAGATTTATAGCCGCTTAGGAGAAAATTTCTTTTTGTACGGAGAATGGCCCACAATGGGTGACATGCATTTCATTAAGTTACGTCACGAATTATGGCGTAACTTAATGAAATGCATGTCGATTTATTCCTTATAGTCTATAGATTTCAACAGTGACATTAGTTTTACCGCATCCAACGCGGATACTGAGAAATTAACAATTAAAATATGAATATCACAATAACCTAAAAAAAACTAAAAGCGATTGTTTAATAGTTTTCACCGGTATTATAAGTTAAAGTAGTGCACTGTTTAATTATAATTAATAGTATAAAACAAAGTTGTTGGTAATTCAGCATTTATAAGTACCTTAAGATTGATGGAAAATCCTTTTAGTAGTTCCGGAAAAACATAGTGCACAGACAAACAAACGTGGTGTGGAAACTATTTTTTGTTATATATTGATTTATTTGTGAGTATTAATCCCAAACACCATTACAGTAATTAAAGAAATATGAATAAAGCCAAGATTTCTTAGAAATCATAATATTACCTGTACACGCTTTATGATAAAGATGAATGAGTTGATAAATACAAAAAAGCAGCAACGTGACAAACGTTTATGCCGGTACCCGGAAGTCAAAGACAAAATTATAAAGAAGTTTGGCGTTATAGAATCTCTATCCTGTGGTATAAACAAATCAATTGCACTATAGATTTTTATTTTTAAATCTACCGTAAAATTGTGCCATTTTCGTTTAGACTTACTTTTGTTTATATCACAGGATAGAAAATTTCGTATAGATTTTATAATGCCAACTTCTTCATAGAAAAGTAGTCTCTATATGTAAGTATTTATGGGTTAAACTGCTGTGGCTGGATGCGGTCGGATCCGACCGCTTGAATTTTGACGGAACGTCGCCTTGGTCGGATCCGACCGTGTGTCCATTGAAAAGTGAACGAAGTTTTATTTATGAAGCTGACATTCGATATCCATCCACTTACGAGCGATTGCTGAGGGTTTTCAATATTTTTTAAGCCTTATTTTCTTAAATAAATGTATATTGAAATACATATAGTCGATGCGCCCACAAAACAAAAAGAATATTTATCTTAAGACGGCGGGGCCAACATTCGAACGGTCGAATTAAATAAATTTTTCTACCTATTATAAATCTTTTCATCGAGAACGTGGTTCATTTACACAAAATAATCATAAGGCACTATCAACGGCTTTTAACTGCTCTCATGAATGTTAAATCTTATGGTCAAATCTTTAAAGACACTCCTTTTTCTCTCCTTTCATGGGGATATACCTACGCATATCCGCCTCGGTGGGACAAGTACGGGTTATGTCGGACTCACACCGACTAATACCCCATGGTATTCCACATTCGTCGTATATTGGTAGGGCCACGGGAACGCTTTCGCACACATCCGCAGCCACACTAGCGCTAGCCGTCCCAGGGCGGCATCCCCTCGGGAGAGGATTACTCAGAGGAGCAATCCTCTTAATAATGTTATACTTGAGAAGGAGAAAGGAGAGCCTTTCGTCTTCTCAACTATAACATTCTCAAGTACGGCGCACCGATACACATAGCGCGCCTTCCTCCATGGCCTCCAACTACAACTTCGGAACGGACGCCCCCGTGTTCGATCCGTGAAGCCCATGGGACCAGGAAAAACGAGCACTCAGAAGCACTAGCCTTCCCGCCCCAGCGGCGGATCCGGTCTGTGGCTCCACTACCAACCACTATTCGGCTGCGGAGGGCAGGTAGACCGGTGCCTCGCCATACCGATACTCTTCCCACCCCACGAAGCCCCGCCACTACCGCATCAACGGTGCGCCCCTGTTTGAGTAGCGAAGGATAAGGCGAGTGGCGCATCACCATACCAACACTTCTCTTCCTCCACGACCCCACCTCGGCTGCAACGGTAGGTGGAGAGGACACCCCTCTCGCAGCAGCCCACCAGCACACATCCAAATTGGGCTCTCCAAATTCACTCGAAGTGGCAACCTCAGGCCGGCCCTTCAACTCGGGCCATCCATGTTGGTTCCTCTTTGTTCACCGCGGATGACCAAGTCATGCATACTAAGCCCTCCCGTCACGACAAGGCGGGCACCCGTCGGAGGGGATTTCAAGAGACTCCAAAACGAACTGAGTTACTTAACAAAAACAACGTAGTGAAAGGTCCTTTTTTTCTTTTACATGGGGAAATGTCTACTATTGGCAGGGCCACGGGAACGCTTTCGCACACATCCGTGGCCCCACCAGCGCTGGCTACCCCACTAATTTGCCTATGAATAATACAATAAATTGTATATTCCGTTTAAATTTACGGTAGAAATCTGATTGAATGTAAAATGGTGTCTATTTCCACAGATCGAATACAACATCGAACGACCAATCTTATAACTTGTATTAACTAAATAATTTAATGGTGTTTAATATATAAATATCAGCAATCAAAATTAATAAAACTGCCCTTTACGAAAACAGATTTCGTAACACAGTATGTCATATTTGTTTTTGTTCAAATATTGCGCCGGATAAGAATAAAGTTATAAAAACTCAGTAAATTGTTAGCGAGATGCTGAAGTATATG